GTGTGTATAGTTATGTCTGTATAGTTATGTCTGTATCAGACTGATGGGGACGTCTGTATAGTTATGTCTGTATAGTTATGTCTGTATCAGAGTGATGGGGACGTCTGTATAGTTATGTCTGTATAGTTATGTCTGTATAGTTATGTCTGTATCAGAGTGATGGGGACGTCTGTATAGTTATGTCTGTATAGTTATGTCTGTATAGTTATGTCTGTATCAGAGTGATGGGGACGTCTGTATAGTTATGTCTGTACAGTTATGTCTGTATCAGACTGATGGGGACGTCTGTATAGTTATGTCTGTATAGTTATATCTGTATCAGAGTCATGGGGACGTCTGTATAGTTATGTCTGTATAGTTATGTCTGTATAGGTATGTCTGTATCAGAGTGATGGGGACGTCTGTATAGTTATGTCTGTATAGTTATGTCTGTATCAGACTGATGGGGACGTCTGTATAGTTATGTCTGTATAGTTATGTCTGTATAGTTATGTCTGTATCAGACTGATGGGGACGTCTGTATAGTTATGTCTGTATAATTATGTCTGTATCAGACTGATGGGGACGTCTGTATAGTTATGTCTGTATAGTTATGTCTGTATAGGTATGTCTGTATCAGACTGATGGGGACGTCTGTATAGTTATGTCTGTATAGTTATGTCTGTATAGGTATGTCTGTATCAGAGTGATGGGGACGTCTGTATAGTTATGTCTGTATCAGAGTGATGGGGACATCTGTATAGTTATGTCTGTATAGTTATGTCTGTATCAGAGTGATGGGGACGTCTGTATAGTTATGTCTGTATAGGTATGTCTGTATCAGACTGATGGGGACGTCTGTATAGTTATGTCTGTATCAGAGTGATGGGGACGTGTGTATAGTTATGTCTGTATAGTTATGTCTGTATCAGACTGATGGGGACGTCTGTATAGTTATGTCTGTATAGTTATGTCTGTATCAGACTGATTGGGACGTCTGTATAGTTATGTCTGTATAGTTATGTCTGTATCAGAGTGATGGGGACGTCTGTATAGTTATGTCTGTATAGTTATGTCTGTATCAGAGTGATGGGGACGTCTGTATAGTTATGTCTGTATAGTTATGTCTGTATAGTTATGTCTGTATCAGAGTGATGGGGACGTCTGTATAGTTATGTCTGTACAGTTATGTCTGTATCAGACTGATGGGGACGTCTGTATAGTTATGTCTGTATAGTTATATCTGTATCAGAGTCATGGGGACGTCTGTATAGTTATGTCTGTATAGTTATGTCTGTATAGTTATGTCTGTATAGTTATGTCTGTATCAGACTGATGGGGATGTCTGTATAGTTATGTCTGAATCAGACTGATGGAGACGTCTGTTTAGTTATGTCTGTATAGTTATGTCTGTATCAGATTGATGGGGACATGTGTATAGTTATGTCTGTATCAGACTGATGGAGACGTCTGTTTAGTTATGTCTGTATAGTTATGTCTGTATATTTATGTCTGTATCAGATTGATGGGGACGTCTGTATAGTTATGTCTGTATAGGTATGTCTGTATCAGACTGATGGGGACGTCTGTATATTTATGTCTGTATCTGACTGAAGGGGACATCTGTATAGTTTTGTCTGTATAGTTATGTCTGTATAGGTATGTCTGTATCAGACTGTTGGAGACGTCTGCTTAATTATGTCTGTATCAGACTGATGGGGACGTCTGTATAGTTATGTCTGTATAGGTATGTCTGTATCAGACTGATGGAGACGTCTGTATAATTATGTCTGTATCAGACTGATGGGGACGTGTGTATAGTTATGTATGTATCAGACTGATGGGGACGTGTGTATAGTTATGTCTGTATAGTTATGTCTGTATCAGACTGATGGGGACGTCTGTATAGTTATGTCTGTATAGTTATGTCTGTATCAGACTGATGGGGACGTCTGTATATTTATGTCTGTATCTGACTGAAGGGGACATCTGTATAGTTTTGTCTGTATAGTTATGTCTGTATAGGTATGTCTGTATCAGACTGTTGGAGACGTCTGCTTAATTATGTCTGTATCAGACTGATGGGGACGTCTGTATAGTTATGTCTGTATAGGTATGTCTGTATCAGACTGATGGAGACGTCTGTATAATTATGTCTGTATCAGACTGATGGGGACGTGTGTATAGTTATGTATGTATCAGACTGATGGGGACGTGTGTATAGTTATGTCTGTATAGTTATGTCTGTATCAGACTGATGGGGACGTCTGTATAGTTATGTCTGTATAGTTATGTCTGTATCAGAGTGATGGGGACGTCTGTATAGTTATGTCTGTATAGTTATGTCTGTATAGTTATGTCTGTATCAGAGTGATGGGGACGTCTGTATAGTTATGTCTGTATAGTTATGTCTGTATAGTTATGTCTGTATCAGAGTGATGGGGACGTCTGTATAGTTATGTCTGTACAGTTATGTCTGTATCAGACTGATGGGGACGTCTGTATAGTTATGTCTGTATAGTTATATCTGTATCAGAGTCATGGGGACGTCTGTATAGTTATGTCTGTATAGTTATGTCTGTATAGGTATGTCTGTATCAGAGTGATGGGGACGTCTGTATAGTTATGTCTGTATAGTTATGTCTGTATCAGACTGATGGGGACGTCTGTATAGTTATGTCTGTATAGTTATGTCTGTATAGTTATGTCTGTATCAGACTGATGGGGACGTCTGTATAGTTATGTCTGTATAATTATGTCTGTATCAGACTGATGGGGACGTCTGTATAGTTATGTCTGTATAGTTATGTCTGTATAGGTATGTCTGTATCAGACTGATGGGGACGTCTGTATAGTTATGTCTGTATAGTTATGTCTGTATAGGTATGTCTGTATCAGAGTGATGGGGACGTCTGTATAGTTATGTCTGTATCAGAGTGATGGGGACATCTGTATAGTTATGTCTGTATAGTTATGTCTGTATCAGAGTGATGGGGACGTCTGTATAGTTATGTCTGTATAGGTATGTCTGTATCAGACTGATGGGGACGTCTGTATAGTTATGTCTGTATCAGAGTGATGGGGACGTGTGTATAGTTATGTCTGTATAGTTATGTCTGTATCAGACTGATGGGGACGTCTGTATAGTTATGTCTGTATAGTTATGTCTGTATCAGACTGATTGGGACGTCTGTATAGTTATGTCTGTATAGTTATGTCTGTATCAGAGTGATGGGGACGTCTGTATAGTTATGTCTGTATAGTTATGTCTGTATCAGAGTGATGGGGACGTCTGTATAGTTATGTCTGTATAGTTATGTCTGTATAGTTATGTCTGTATCAGAGTGATGGGGACGTCTGTATAGTTATGTCTGTACAGTTATGTCTGTATCAGACTGATGGGGACGTCTGTATAGTTATGTCTGTATAGTTATATCTGTATCAGAGTCATGGGGACGTCTGTATAGTTATGTCTGTATAGTTATGTCTGTATAGTTATGTCTGTATAGTTATGTCTGTATCAGACTGATGGGGACGTCTGTATAGTTGGTTTTTTTTTCGTTTCCGTATCGTGAGACAGTGACTTCACCATACAGATGTTGCCGTGAGACAGTGACTTCACCATACAGATGTTGCCGTGAGACAGTGACTTCACCATACAGATATTGCCGTGAGACAGTGACTTCACCATACAGATGTTGCCGTGAGACAGTGACTTCACCATACAGATGTTGCCGTGAGACAGTGACTTCACCATACAGATATTGCCGTGAGACAGTGACTTCACCATACAGATATACAGATACAGATGTTGCCGTGAGACAGTGACTTCACCATACAGATATTGCCGTGAGACAGTGACTTCACCATACAGATATTGCCGTGAGACAGTGACTTCACCATACAGATGTTGCCGTGAGACAGTGACTTCACCATACAGATGTTGCCGTGAGACAGTGACTTCACCATACAGATGTTGCCGTGAGACAGTGACTTCACCATACAGATGTTGCCGTGAGACAGTGACTTCACCATACAGATGTTGCCGTGAGACAGTGACTTCACCATACAGATATTGCCGTGAGACAGTGACTTCACCATACAGATATTGCCGTGAGACAGTGACTTCACCATACAGATATTGCCGTGAGACAGTGACTTCACCATACAGATATTGCCGTGAGACAGTGACTTCACCATACAGATATTGCCGTTGCCATACAGATAGACAGTGACTTCACCATACAGATATTGCCGTGAGACAGTGACTTCACCATACAGATATTGCCGTGAGACAGTGACTTCACCATACAGATGTTGCCGTGAGACAGTGACTTCACCATACAGATATTGCCGTGAGACAGTGACTTCACCATACAGATATTGCCGTGAGACAGTGACTTCACCATACAGATATTGCCGTGAGACAGTGACTTCACCATACAGATGTTGCCGTGAGACAGTGACTTCACCATACAGATATTGCCGTGAGACAGTGACTTCACCATACAGATATTGCCGTGAGACAGTGACTTCACCATACAGATATTGCCGTGAGACAGTGACTTCACCATACAGATATTGCCGTGAGACAGTGACTTCACCATACAGATATTGCCGTGAGACAGTGACTTCACCATACAGATATTGCCGTGAGACAGTGACTTCACCATACAGATGTTGCCGTGAGACAGTGACTTCACCATACAGATATTGCCGTGAGACAGTGACTTCACCATACAGATGTTGCCGTGAGACAGTGACTTCACCATACAGATATTGCCGTGAGACAGTGACTTCACCATACAGATGTTGCCGTGAGACAGTGACTTCACCATACAGATATTGCCGTGAGACAGTGACTTCACCATACAGATATTGCCGTGAGACAGTGACTTCACCATACAGATATTGCCGTGAGACAGTGACACCATACAGATGTTGAGACATTGAGACAACTGATTTGAAGTACCGTAAGATTTCAAAAGTGTGACTGTTCGATAGAAAGAATTGTAACTTACCTCTGAATTCTTTAGATTTTCTGGAGATTGTACAAAATATGAGTCCATAGGCCGCTATCATAATTCCAAGGGGGATCAAAAATTGCACGAAGAGACAGAAGATATTGTACATCCACTTGTATTGAGGATGAGGATAGGACGCAATATCCACACATTGATAAAAGTCTTCCCTAAACGGTCCTCTTAACACGCTAAAAATGAACAGCTGAAAAATACAAAAAAGAAATCACAATATCAGCAGAAATTTTTGATAAAATTATCCAATAAATGATGCTTGTTATTACTGAAGTAATACTTCCAGCAATGAATTTAATAAAAACTAGCTTGTTACATCATCTAATATGTAAAACATATCTTAAGTGTAAATATTGTTTAATATTTAGCAAATAAAACTGTGCATTATTTTCAGTATTATAATGTCAAGTGAATATGTTCCACAAAGGTTTAAGGAAGGAATAGTGATACCATTTTTCAAAGGTGGGAATAAAAATCATTCCGACCCAACTAGTTATCGCGGAATAACGCTGGCATCTTCCATCGGAAAGGATTGAGAAATGGATTATACAGAACAAGGTTGATTTTCCACATTCTCTACAGTTTGGATTTAGAAAAAATATGGGAGCGATCCCAGCTATCTTCATGTTAAAAGAAATAATGTCCTTCTATGCCGAATGGAAATCTTCGCTTTACATCGCTTTTTTAGATAACGAGAAGGCGTTTGATAGGGTATGGCTGAATGGTCTCTTTTATAAAATGTATGAACTTGGTATACGCTGCCGGATGTGGAAAATTATCTTCAACTCTTAAATGTACACAAAAGTATGTATTCGACTAAAGGGAGAGCTAAGCAACTTCGTACACGTGACGCGCGTTGTCGGTCAGGGAAATGTTCTCAGCGCTTTCATGTTTAAACTGTATATTGACGGATTGATGAAGGCTATATATGAAACAAAATGTGGCATAAAAATTGTGGATAGACATATACCTGGTATTTTACTTGCTGATGACACCTGTCTGATATCTTCTAGTGAAAACGGTTTACAAAACTTAATTGAAACATCAAGAATGTATGCCTTCAAATGGCAATTGAAATAAAACGCGTCTAAGAGTGCTATAGTCGTGTTTAACAACAGAAACCAAGCTGCAAAATATGATTTCTCAATGGGAGAAAATAGAATAGAAACAAAGGAAAGTGTGATATACGCAGGAACTGTCATATCCAACATTAATCCTGTAAATAAATGCCTGGACAGGGCTTGCAAAAAACTACAAAGATCATTTCATTCTCTTCGAGATGTCGGTCTTCGATTTGGAGAAATTACACCGATAGCGTCTTCTCTTATCTGGAAACGTGTCATTTTACCCGCCAGCATGTATGCGTGTGAGACGTGGGGAGTAGCGTGCGACAGAAGTTTGGACAAACTTGAGGTAACCCAACGGAAGTGCTGTCGAATCCTTCAAGGATTTGACAAAAATTCCCCGTCAGAGAGTACCATTGAAACTCCTGGAATTTGTAGGCTGACACACTTCATAGATAAGTACCGATTACTGTTTTTTGTAAGACTGTGTTTGACAGATATCACCAAAATACACAAACAGTTGTTTAATTTCAACATAGGAATGTTTCTGATTTTTGGATTATTCGAATGCACGGACATCTTTCGAACACTGACTACTACGGACATGTGCAGAGAATTTGGATTTCTTGGGAAACTTGGAGCACTACCTATAACAAAGTGTTTGTGACTATCAGATCACGTGGTGCTATACTCACTATCAGATCACGTGGTGATATACTCACTATCAGATCACGTGGTGATATACTCACTATCAGATCACGTGGTGATATACTCACTATCAGATCACGTGATGATATATTGTCAATTTGTTATTTTCCTGAAACATAAATCATTATCATTTTTACAATGATATGAATATGGATAATTTAGATAATTGAAGGACAGCAATAACGGATTTCTAATTTCTATTAAAGCCAGGGAAACGCCATTAATATAGAAAAAATACTAGGCATAATCTAACATTTTCATCAAGTTGAAAAATAAATATGTAGTTGATCACTAGGTAAAACTGAAAAAGAATTAAATTACTAAACGGACTACCAAAATACGTCAGGGTTAACAGTGTTAGAATTTGTTTCTAAAACATAACACTATATCTTCAATCAATCATCACCATATCCTATACTAGTGGACGTACCCGTGACAGGGTGACGACACCAAATCAGCCACCATACCCTGTACTAGTGGACGTACCTGTGACAGGGTGACGACACCAAATCAGCCACCATACCCTGTACTAGTGGACGTACCCGTGACAGGGTGACGACACCAAATCAGCCACCATACCCTGTACTAGTGAACGTACCCGTGACAGGGTGACGACACCAAATCAGCCACCATACCCTGTACTAGTGAACGTACCCGTGACAGGGTGACGACACCAAATCAGCCACCATACCCTGTACTAGTGGACGTACCCGTGACAGGGTGACGACACCAAATCAGCCACCATACCCTGTACTAGTGAACGTACCCGTGACAGGGTGACGACACCAAATCAGCCACCATACCCTGTACTAGTGAACGTTCCCGTGACAGGGTGACGACACCAGATCAGCCACCATACCCTGTACTAGTGAACGTACCCGTGACAGGGTGACGACACCAGATCAGCCACCATACCCTGTACTAGTGGACGTACCCGTGACAGGGTGACGACACCAAATCAGCCACCATACCCTGTACTAGTGGACGTACCCGTGACAGGGTGACGACACCAGATCAGCCACCATACCCTATACTAGTGGACGTACCCGTGACAGGGTGACGACACCAAATCAGCCACCATACCCTATACTAGTGGACGTACCCGTGACAGGGTGACGACACCAAATCAGCCACCATACCCTATACTAGTGGACGTACCCGTGACAGGGTGACGACACCAAATCAGCCACCATACCCTGTACTAGTGGACGTACCCGTGACAGGGTGACGACACCAAATCAGCCACCATACCCTGTACTAGTGGACGTACCCGTGACAGGGTGACGACACCAAATCAGCCACCATACCCTGTACTAGTGAACGTACCCGTGACAGGGTGACGACACCAGATCAGCCACCATACCCTGTACTAGTGGACGTACCCGTGACAGGGTGACGACACCAAATCAGCCACCATACCCTGTACTAGTGGACGTACCCGTGACAGGGTGACGACACCAGATCAGCCACCATACCCTGTACTAGTGAACGTACCCGTGACAGGGTGACGACACCAGATCAGCCACCATAGCCTGTACTAGTGAACGTACCCGTGACAGGGTGACGACACCAGATCAGCCACCATACCCTGTACTAGTGAACGTACCCGTGACAGGGTGACGACACCAGATCAGCCACCATACCCTGTACTAGTGAACGTACCGGTGACAAGGTGACGACAACAGATAGGCCACCATACCCTATACTGGTGGACGTACCCGTGACAAGGTGACGACACCAGATCAGCCACCATATCCTATACTGGTGAACGTACCCGTGACAGGGTGGCGACACCAGATCAGCCACCATACCCTATACCAGTGAACGTACCCGTGACAGGTTGGCGACACCAGATCAGCCACCATACCTTATACTAGTTAACGTACCCGTGACAAACTGACGACACCAGATCAGCCACCATACCCTGTACTAGTGGACGTACTCGTGACACGGTGACGACACTAGATCAGCCACCATACCCAATACCAGTGGACGTACCCGTGACACGGTGACGACACCAGATCATCTACCATACCCTGTACTAGTGGACGTACCGTGACACGGTGACGACACCAGATCACCCACCATACCCTATACTAGTGAACGTACCCGTGACTAGGTGACGAAACCAGATCACCCACCATACCCTATACTAGTGGACGTACCCGTGACAAGGTGACGACACCAAATCAGCCACCATACCCTATACCAGTGGACGTACCCGTGACAGGGTGACGACACTAGATCAGCCACCATACCCAATACCAGTGGACGTACCCGTGACACGGTGACGACACCAAATCAGCCACCATACCCTATACCAGTGGACGTACCCGTGATTAGGTGACGACACCAGATCAGCCACCATACCCTGTACTAGTGGACGTACCCGTGACAGGGTGACGACACCAGATCAGCCACCATACCCTGTACTAGTGAACGTACTCGTGACAGGGTGACGACACCAGATCAGCCACCATACCCTGTACTAGTGAACGTACCGGTGACAAGGTGACGACAACAGAATGGCCACCATACCCTATACTGGTGGACGTACCCGTGACAAGGTGACGACACCAGATCACCCATCATACCCTGTACTAGTGGACGTATAGGAGAGAACGTTGCTCATAGATAATAATTCAATGTACAACACAGTGAAACATACATACATTAATTGATCTATTGACATTTTCTCTAAATTTCTCAACGTTAACTTTCCAAAATGAAGGTTTTATTTCTCTATAGAGCGCTGCGTTTAACTACTCCTATCATGGGAAGGATAGAAACAATAGTAGATGTAGGTTTTAACACAGATTTTATATGACAACTGTTTTTTTTTAAATAAAAATATGTTCTTTTCCAGCGCTATATTTTCATAAGAATAAATGTTGTAGTTTTTTATGGCGAGCAGGACTTTTCCTAATTTAAATGCTGAACTGAAATCTGCTTCCGTCATCACCAGGACGTGCACTACCACAATGACGTCTTAAGTTCCTTCAATCAGTGTTACTTGTATAGTGCTGCACTCTTGTTAATAGACAAAACCTTGTAAAATACCAGTCTGGTTTCCCCTTGAGATGGAAATGACAATCTAAAACAGACATACTTGAATGACTGATAATATACAGAATAGCAATGTGATTACATAATTGCCATTTCCTGAAATTCCCACTAAAAACTCCTTATATAATTGCAGTATTTAGTGGTAAGGACTGTATTACAACTACTTACATTATTGTAATAATTATTACATTAACGGTGAGGACTGCGTTACAATACTACCACTATTGTGATAATGATTACTCTCCATCCGGCTGTTTCCGTGTCTTAATGATTACTCTCCATCCGGCTGTTTCCGTGTCTTAATGATTACTCTCCATCCGGCTGTTTCCGTGTCTTAATGATTAAGTTTCAA